AACGCTCAGGAGTAGTTTTTGAGCATGTTATATTTTCGAAATTTCTGAACATATAAAAGCTTATTTAAAATTAACTTGTTTTATGAAGTTGTGCAGTTTCGTTTATCTTATTCAATGTCATATTTTGTTCTGAAAATTAAACTAAATAATTGATTCGAATGTAGTTGATAAAAACCGGCATATGATGTGATATAAATAGTATATAGATATTTCATACAAGATGTCAGAGATAATAAAATGAATATAACGTTTGCAGCATTCTTTGACAGAAATCTATCAGAAAAGTCACTATCTAATGTAAGTTCTAAACAACTCTTAGAAAATTCAGTTGAAAAATTGACGAAAAGATTCTAATAGCTCGGTAGAATGATTCTTCATCTAGGATCATTATAGATTTTCTTGAGTATGAATAACGCTACGAATAATAGCACAGCCATATCTATACAGACAAAAATGCTAAAAATTACAACATTTGAATATCAAATCAGTTAAAACACGCTCTTTTGTTGAGTTTTGTCATGCATTTAATAGATTCTTTTTTGAATACTTCGAAGGCATTTGTATATGTAGAATCAAACGTTTTTTTTTCGAATGCAATCGATGATAATTTAGTCTTCTCTTTTCACTCATACATCTTAAATGCTTTCATCGACAAAAAAAACAAACTGGCTCATATTTTCGACACGCACATCAACAAACTAATCTCAGCTTAGATTTCAGCAATCGATCTCTCATCGAAACTATTTGAAGAAGAAGTTATGTGTTTTATATAAGTAATAATAGTCAAGAAAAATAATACGACAAAATACGAGTATTTATGATTTTATATGATCGTTCACGATGTTCTGTGATTCGGAATCTAATGAATATTTGAAGTTCAAAGACTTTTAACGAGTTTCTCAAGAAGTATAGTATTTGCACTTTTGTTTTTTTTTTCTCATAGATCATTTACTTCCATTGAATTTGTTTAAACATCATTAGTCTTGCTGAATTCTAAAAATATATCTAGCGACATCAGTAGAGTTCGTTGGACCTGAATCTTAAAAATTTCTATTAACTGAATCCGATTTCGTGTCTGGATCTGAAAGTTTTAGACTTACCGAATCTATTTGTCTGAGAAATGTGTACAGTGTACTAATCATCGAATGCAAAAACTGAAAAATAGAGTAACTATGCAATTCCAATTAGAAACTTTCATTAAGATTATCAAAGTACGACTCAGCCAGACTCGAAAACCTGGGACTTGATGGGCTCTAGATTTCAGCGGATTGATTGATAGACAGTGGCGTTTAAACTATCTGAAAATTGATCCTGGATGACAAAAGTTTCTATAAAGTTAATACCTTCGCTCAGCAACAGTTCAGCTGATTACTTTAAACCTCTGAATATATCGAAGACGGAAAGAAACTTTGAATTTTTTTTGCATTCTGATCTTACTATATTTTTGATCGCACTGATTTTCGTACCATCAGTGTCGCTGTTTGAACTGTACAGTACTTTAAAGCAGTTTCTTGCAAGTTCAAGAGAAGACTTTTTCACAATAATGATACCACAGTATATTTGAACTCTTTGATGCAAATTAGTAAATGATCAAAATTGCAAAGCTTTCTTAGAGAGATTCTTAGCAATGTAAAGTTTTTCTGTTGCTTCATCATAATGAACACAGATGAGTGTTGTTACAGTGTGAAGTATTGTATTTATTCGTTCGCGAATCTTGTTTTGCTTTCTTGGCGCATAACTCGAGTCACTATATCGTATCGTAATGATCTAAAGATCAGAGACTTATTACAAAGTCTACTATTTTTAATGATCAATTTTTTTCCCGAAACTTCGATATGAAGTTCTATTTGTTCTCCAAACGCTTCACAAATGACGATTTTGAGATGAAAACTCTATTTCTTTCGAGATAATGAAGATGAGTCTCAATAACAACTATGATTAGATGGAATACTGCGACTATATTTCGAAGTTGTTGTTATATCGAAGTATTCATCACTCTCGTGTTGGAAATGAAACTTCAAACATTGTGATGACAAATGAACATAATTGATTCCGTTTATTTTCTGTTTGATAAAATTTATTGAGAACAATTACAGGGTGTGAATGCGAGCACAGGTGTGAGACTGGGTCTCAGTAAGAATTCGAGTGTGGATTCTGAGGCGACTGCACATGTGAGTAAGAAGATTAGACAACCTCTCACCCTTTGTTGAGCTATAGAAAAATATGAAAAATAATGCTCGAAAAATTTGGTGATCAAAAATATTGTCACTCAAACAATTCAATTGAAGTCAATAATTAAACCAATGCTTGCGAGCGATTCTCTTGTCACTTTTTTTTTGTTCGTTATCGGTTGAGATTCTCATTGTATATAAATTGACAACTTCGGTCTATTCTAACATAAGCATAAGGCGAACAAAGAAGAGCATGACAACAGTTCTGTTCAAAAGTTGAAAACAATAAATTGATATTCATTCTTAGTTATATCTCTGCAAGTTCATTGCATTCAATAGAAGTTTGTTGACACATATGTCTACTTGAGTAGTATAAGAAATACATTATATGATTCAATTAATGATAGTTACCAATTTAAGTGTGATTATAATATTTGTTCTTCAGTGGATAAAAGGTGTGGGTACGAGTGTTATTCTCAACATCCCAACTTACATCCACTCCCCGTAAAATGTATTACAAAAAGAAGCATCGAATGAAATGTCAGCTTGAACGTGATAGAGAAGATCATGTACAAACAAAGAGACATTTTACAAAAAATATTTAATGTAGGAGAGTTTTTTTCCACATTTAATGTTAGAACAAGTGTACTTGTTGTTGATCGAGTTCAGAGCATGACATCCTAAACTACTACATACCTAACGATGGGTGTGAGTGTTAGATGAGAGAAATACTTACATCTTTATTTGCAAAAAATCTAATTCCGATCAATGGAAAAAGCAGATATGAGTTGCAGATATTGAAATGCGCGTCATAATTTTTTAAATAATATTCTAGACTCACTCACACCCTGTTGAATGGATTAGCATTATTCGTTGAGTCACACAAAAAAAGAGAAGTAAGACTAAAAAAATTTGAGTATTTTTCATTGTTTTGTATCATATGATCCAATTAAATTCTTCTTAGCACTAAGCAGAATTTAAAATATTCAGTTTTTGACGTCAGATATTTCTTTGTTTTCCATGAAATCCAATATCAAACGATTATGTTCGAGTGCTACATATTTGATAGACTGACTTCAAGTGCAAAAATTCTTGGGTCCAACGGGTTCTACCTACCAGAGACAGTCGAAGAAAAGAACTTTCAATATCTATGAATTGCTTCATGATGATTGAAGATTTCAGTGTCTATTCTCACCTATATTCCATAACAGAATTGTTTCTTGAAATCGGGTGAGTACATTGGCGTAGGATTTGGTATATGCAGGTAATATGATTTTATAATTCTAGCATTTGTTGAAAACTTATCATTTCTGTCATCACGCAACAAAAAGAGAGGTGTTTCTATGGGTGCATTATCGGCATGCATTGTTTTCGATGGACCATACATTCCATTCAGATAAAGTTCTCAGTCACTATACTACCCATCTAGAGACCAAACTTCAGAGCTCTATGTTCAGTTGTTTCAAAAACGTTGGGATGGAAAGTTACTAAAGCGTGAGTGCGTTACCTGCTGACAAGCTATTGTACACTTTCCATGTATGAATTATAAAATAGGAAAATAAAAATGATTATCCTAAAAAATCATGCGAATATCAGAAACTGAAAATGTATTTACTACATTTTACCAGTAATATATTATTATTTAAAATGCATTAAACATTTTTTAGCTCTAAGTATTCTCGAATAGAGTATGAAATTTAGATTTTATTAAAATTCATAAACAATTATTAATTTATATATGAGAATCAAAAATTCATAGTTCTGTTGTTGATGGACGATGAGTGTCACTGACAAGGAAACCTTGTCAACTGATGCATTCTATTTGAGCTCATATTTTGTTTATAACCAGAGCTTATAGCATAGAGAAAAACACTAATAGGATTTTGCTCATCATACATTTATTATGCAGTTATGATCATTTTAGTGAGTTTGCAACCTGCTACAGGATATTACAACAAGAAGAAGAGCAGAAAACCTCGACCTGTAATGTTGCTCAAACTTAGAGTGCATAGTCCTTGTATTACTGCGAACGTTTTAGAAGAAATAGATGATTTACTACCGTGGTAGCAGGCTTGTAAATAAAGTATGTTTTCGCGAAAGGGTCGAGAAGGTTCAATTTTTATTAACATTTCATTTCTTGATAAGAAATCATTCGTTTTAGCTGAAATTTTTAGAATAGTATAAGGGCCGTTTTATCTATATTTGAACAAAACTTCAGATTGAAACTCTTGATTTTATTTTTCTCATATTATTCTGTAAAAGACTGAAAATTCAGTAAAATGATCATAACTTGTGCAGACAGCCGTAACGGGAAGAGTCTTTTCGGAACTTTTATCTATCCTATAAGCTTTAACTATATACAAAATATGAACTGAAATGGAATATATTAGTTGGTGAGGTTCACTCACGAGTTATTCATAGTTTAGATCATCGACAGTTGGATTACGTAAAAAAAAACTGCTCCATTACATTAAAAAATAATATTGTTATTACACTGTTGTTGTGCAATTTCATTATCTTGTAAAATGTTAACTTCAGTCCTGTTCTAAAGCAAATATTTGAGTCCACTTGCTTGTGATTCACCTCCACTAATATGGTCTGATTTTTCATATTGCATATGTGATGTCATATAACATGTTTCTGTTCTGTTTGTCATTGTTTTTTTGTGAAAGCTTCGCTTTTGCTCCCCTGCTCTCTATAGTCACTTACCACAATAATTATTTTTCTCAATAACATACAAGACATATATATACATGGTTTTTTGCTTATTAATATGTTCACCGAACACTAATTTACACTTTTCATTATTCAATAGATTCCATAAGTATTATGGCCTACTTCGATCTTGATACCAATCCAACAACTTCAATCAAATCAAAATCAAGTGGAGGAAAAACACCAATTGATGTTTCTAATTTTCGTCCAGTAAACAAAAAACCTATTGGAAATGATTGGGATGTGAATCCGGGGATATACTCTCATGGAGTGATTATCGATCTGGTAATACTTATTTGTAAGTCTTCTAGTACAAATTCTCAATTACGATAAAGAAATTTATCATGAAGGAGCATAAAAAGAAAAAAAACTTTGAATAAAGGATAGATAGAAAAGAGACAAAAACATTTTTCTTAATCTAATTTCGATCACGATTAAGACAATTTTTTCATTCAATTAGTGTTTTATTTCTGAATGAACATATTTCGATTACAATGAAAATGATAGAAGAATTCATCATGTCTATACTGATCCGAATGTAAGATATATTTACACAAAAAGAATTAAAGAATATAGTAAGATATAATGCGCTTTGCTATGCGATCAATATTGACGTTTGAGTCAATGCACGTTCAGCTCCATGAAAGCTGAGGATACGGGTGTAGTATTAGTAAAGACAAAATTGAAACCAACTCACACTCACACCCACATTCTGATATACTTTAGTGGTTTTGAGTCTTCTCTGTTAAAAGGACAAAGCTACAGACATTCGCTGCTTCGATCCTCAAGTTATACAAAAAAAAATCATAAACATTTAATGACTAAAATGCCATAGTTTCTGTATCTAATAACAAGAACTCTACAATTACTATTTTTCAGTGTTACTGCTCAACGTCGTCTTCGTAAGAATCGAGATACATCTGGTTCTGGCTATTTGACTATTCCACTTTCAATAACACGTCTTTTTCCATCTGCTTTAACTCATTATGGTTCACTCCTTGAAGCTGAACCAGATTTAGTTGCCATAATCGAGTTAGCACCAACGGATGGAATCTTCGCCGAGAAATTCGGATCATCACTACCAGAAGCAATTCGCAACAGAAATGATATTCTATATTTAGTCAATCCTATGGAAAATACACTATATGTTTCAATAAATGGTAATGACAGCGGTGGGTTTCCAATTGATGAAACGACGACAGAGCAAATCATCGAATATATCAATTTAGCTAATGAGAAAAAAGCAGCGTTCTTTATCAAATGTGAAATAACGGTAAGATGATCTTGGATTTAATACTAACTTTCTAAAATATTACCTCACAAAAGAAAAAAAAAATTGGAACTCTCAAAAGAACAGGCAACTGTATCATTCATTAAAAAACATCTCTATTTTTTCTTTTTTAATTGCGACACATATACAAGAATCGTAATTCGTTTTTCATTTTCGTTTCTAGGGAAAGGAGATCGTTGATAAATGGCCACAAGGTTCAATTAAGGGTTTGCCTGTTGGATGGACATGTGAGCTTAATGGTTGTTTTGCATCTGGTTCTGATTTTATAAAAGGTACATGGAAATGTCAAGGGCCGGAATCCAAAAAAGAGGAAGCATACAAAATCGTAGAAAAATACTATGATGGATTCGATGTTCATATAACTTGGGAAAATGATTCGGTTTAAATAGACTTTCATATATCACACTGTTTATGAAATCAATATTAGATGGAAAAACAGTTGTATATGAATATTAACGTTATTCAATCACTTTAAAATCGATACTAAGAATATATTCGTCATTTGTACTTTTTGAATTTTTAAGTTTTTCAAATAAAGACACGCTATCAAATTTTTCAAAATGCATCCAAATGAATTTTTTTTTGCTGCAAGATTTACTCAATATTTCTTCTCTTTCGACATCTTTGTAGGTTTAGATATTTTCTCCTAACATGCCTAGACTCACTCTAAGAAATGATGAGTTGAAAGTGAAGAAGTAAATTTGATTAAAATTAGTTTGAATCATACTAGCAAACAAGGTCTATGCTTTTAATTTCAAGCACTCGCAGACTAATACAAATTACAGATAGATTTTTCTTTCAATATGATCTAAATAAAATAAAAGATAAGAAAATTTCTCAACTTCAATTTATAGTTTATCAAGCAATTCAACTGCATAGAGTAGTAAGAAATTTTACTTTGCAATTCGGAAAAATTTAATCATCAAGAAGTGTATACTATTATAAAAATACCTTAAGAATTTTTTTTCTATAATGATCGTCAGGAGAAATGCATACTAGATAATCCTGTCTATAAATATATGTGCTTAACAAGTTAAGAGACTATTATATTCTGTTAGGACATCCTGTCTATGACCTAAAATCATCTTTGACGGTCGATTTTTCCTTTTCATCTGCTACAAATTAGATGGTAACATTTTTACCTCGTCCATCAAAGTCCATTATTATCTCACGAATGAGTAATAAACTATTGTTTGTTCAAGTCATACTCTTAACTTAAAAAAATTCACTGGACTCTGTTATGTATATAAAAAGAGACAGTTGTCTCTTTTCATAAAATCAGTAACATACATGAAGTCTTTTGGGATTGCATTAGTACTGAGTATTATTTGTCTCTGTTTTGGTGATAGTACCATCTACCATAGAACATTATATGATTGAATTGAATTCACAACAACCGATCCCATTTTATGTGACGGATCGGATTTACGTAAGGGACGTCCTTCGGGCTGTGCGCGCCAAAAATTCAGAGATTTTGATGTTTGCTGCTACAAAACTAATGTAACGATTAGTAAACAAAATTCATTGTTCGGAATGCTATGGGGTGGTCTAGTATGGGTGTGGGTAAAGAGAAGATCCCAATCCACACCCACACCCATCCTCTGAGGCAGCTGCACATGTGGCTAAGAAGATCATACACTCACACCCTTTGTTAAACTATAAATAATATGAAAATAATACCGAAAACATTTGTTGATCAGAAATACTATGACCCAAACAATTTAACTGAGGTCAATAATTAAAGCAATACTTGTGAATGATTCTCTTGTCCCTTTTTTTTTCGTTCGTCATCGGCTGAAATTCTCATTGTATGTATATTGGCTACTCTCGTCTATTCCAACATAAGGTGAACATCTAAGAACATGACGACAATTCTGTTCAAAAAGTGAACAATAATAAATTGATATTCATTCTTAGTTATATCTCGAAAAGTTCATTGTATTCAATATAAGTCTGTTGACACACAAGTATACTTGACTAGTATAAGAATACATTATATAATTCATTTTATGATAGTTACCAACTTAAGTATGATTATAACATTTGTCCTGCATTGGATAAAGAAACATGCACTATTGAGACGATCTTTTTTTTACAACTCTATTCGATTGATTATTTTTGTGATTGCGATTTAACAATACGTTGTTTCTATAATCGAGAAATAAGTATAGACGTTTTTGTTGATTATAATATTATCTTCATATTCTCATTTCTTTAGAAAATAACAATACATGTGTTTATTTTGTCGTTGAAAATGATTTAATCTTATTATTTTATAAATAGTTTAGTTTACCATTTAGTATTCGTGATCCTATGTAGTATCGTTCAAACCTAATCTATCCAGTTCGCAACATATGATTTACTTCATCTGTTGTTGACTTACTTGTTCATGATTCTGCTTTTTCCAATTAACGCTTAAAAATAGATAAATTAACTATTTATTGGTATGTTTCGCAACTACCTTCTCTTGTGTTGAATTGGGTGGGATGACAATTGTTAGCATCTATTTTTTATTATAGAATCCAGATCGTTTTGTTTGCTTGTGTCACTGATGACATTGATGTCGTATTTTATATTTTTTCGTTATATACCTCCTACATTAAACTTATGTTGGCTTTAGATTTTATCAATATTAGACTTGAAAGTTGATTGTTCATCTTTTATTTGAAACAATATATTGCTTGTTAATATATTCAATTTATAATCATAGAGACTTAGATACTTCTATTCCTTAATTTCAGTTTATTGTCTCCGTTTAATATCTCTTTTATCAAGCTATCAAAATTTATGGATAGTGTGATAGGTGCTTTTTAGTCATCACGTTGTCTTTGATAGTAGTCGATCTGTGACAGTAAAACATAAGTGTCAATTGATTAAAAACCAAAATTTTCTTTGTCACTGAAGTAGTCCATTTTTAGTTTGAAAGAAAATATTCTTTTTTTTATCAGAGTTAATTTATAGAAATAGAACAGGTATATCTCTTATAAATTGTATGCACTGATGTTTTTCTTCTATCAAGTAGATAATTTCTACTGTACGCAAAGAAATAACTCTGAAAATAATAAAAACTTCGTATTGATCCACAGTAAATACGTATCTCTTACTTAATATGCATGAATACTTCTTTTCTAGCACAAGTTTATTTTATTGTATTTTAATCTAATATTCAATTTATTCAGATAGTTAGATTCAAATAGCATTAAAGTATATGTTTCTTATTTTCAATGATTAATTCGTCCATAAGATAGAGAGAGGTATTTCTCCTTCGATATAAATTAGTTAGATAATATTTCTTTTTCAGTTTTAAATAAGTCTAAAGTCGTTTTTTTCATCAGTTTATTTTTTTTAAATGTCGACTCGAGAATAAATGTTGTAAGCTATACATAGTAAAGTAATAATATTAATATTTTCTTCTTTTGCCTCTTATAACATAGAGATATCCATTAGTTAGCATTTTCTTTGTTTAACTTTCCACGAAATTAAATCATGTATTCTATGGTTCAGAGACAACGATATTCATGACTCTTAGTCTTTATCATATATATGTGAGGAAATATCCAGTGCTAGTTATTTAGAATAATATCGTTCGGAATATTTTCAAAGCATATTCTTAGTTGTGTAGTAATTTAAACTTTCTGTGAAGACATTACCTTCCGTTAAGTTTTTTGATGTTATGAGAATTACTATTAGTTTCATAACTAGAAACGTGTACATAGAAAATTTAAAATACTATACAATGAAGAATATGCTTTCGAACGACATGATTATCAATAACTGTTTTTTTTTGTATTTTATCACATCATCTATGATGAAGATTAGAAATTCTGAACATCACTTTTTCCGTACAATTCCACGCATTGTTTGATTTCGTTGAAATTTTAACAGAGATTATGCTGACTAAGTCTTATCTCTGTGAAACTAAAATGAATTAGCAGAGTAAAAGCTGTTATATACAAATTGTGTACATTAGGACAACATTAAGTTTAATTAATTTTTTTGAAAAAAAAAGGAGTTGATCATTTTTGGTATAAAAGAATTTGGTGTTAAGAGAGTAGTATAAAAGTAAAAAGCTGTATGACAAATAAGACATAACTTTTTAAAATGATTTTTCTTTTTGTATAAAAAAATGACGTGTTTGTCTACGCGGGTAGATGACGAAAAAGCCAAAAAGAGAACAACAAAAAATAGTAAACAGGTATGTCGAAGATTTTTTTCTATAGAATATCATTTATTGTCTCATAAGAAAATGTCTTTCTTTTTCTTTGTTTTTTATCAGTTTCTATGCCTATATGTATTTTTGATGAAATATTTCTTTTTCTTCTCTATCGTCACAAGCAAAAATTGAGACGATAATTTTGTTTTTAGAAGAAACATGTGATTGTCTTGTTGCTTGTACATTTGTCTTTCAAACAGAGTAGATAAATCCTTCTTATTTTCTTTTCTTCCTTACAATTTATTCAGCGTCATATACCATTTTGTAATATAAAAAAGACAGAAGAGTACGAATTTAAATGTTATTCATAGGAGTGCTATATTAATATTACTTATTTCTTTTTACTTTAGTGTGATTATTACGCATTAGTAGTAATTATTAATAACTGTTATTTCTTTTATTACTTATCACCTATTACTAGCATTAATAATAACGAATATTAATTTCATTAATGAATACTTTTCTGACTTCTCAAATTTATTACTTTATTACTAGCAATGGTAATGCAGCACCCTAATTGTTCATGATACCGCTTTTATTCTTAGTCTGTATACGCAAGTGTATTGCTTCAAGTATAAAGGTATAAGTCAATGCATTAATCGGCAGCGATGAATGAGTTTATCGTAATGTATTTCCTGTATCAGCAGCGACTGAAAGTTCGTGGTGTCTTTTTAAAAGCCTCTGTACTGGTCTCGAGAGGTTTTGAAATGAAATTTGTGTTAGTAAAATATTCTCAAATGCACTCCACCCAATGTTCAACTCGAAGAGATTACCAATTTGAATTTCTTTGAATTCCCCATTCATGACATTCACATCAAGCCATTTTCTTTAAAAACTCTTTGATAAAAGTATCAAGGATTATTGCGATGGATCGACTCCACGCTATTGCAAGTCATTCTAATCCAGGCTTGGAATAGGTACATATAAATAATATACAATTCTTGTATTAAATAGTATATGAAAAAAAAACGGCTTGATATAGAATCTCATGTTTCGAGAATTTGAGAGTCTATCGATTAATAATCTCTTCAAGTTAAACAACGGTACGAGTGGATTGGAATGTGTTGGAGTGTATAGTACTAATACTCAAATGGAATAGATAATAAATAATGATTAAGAACTGAGTGACACGAAACTATTCAATCCATGCAAAAAAAAGACAGAATTGTGGGTTTAATCAGATTATTTGATTAGTAATCAATTTGAATCACAATGATCACACAACATATTTCTCTTAATTTTTAATGTAGCCTATCAAATTTCTGAATAGTTTTTCTAACTCAATACATCATGAACAAAATGCCGACGAAATGGTTTAAAGTCATTTATCTTTTTATTGAGCTTAAAAAAAACCTTATTTTAAATTTGAAAGACGTATTCCATTTGATTGTAATCGATTCAAACTAGGAATGCTACTTTATTTTTATTTATAATAAAGAGTAAATATAAACAAATCTTTATATTTATAGAATATAGATAAAGGACTTCTTATTACATGCACCTTTGTAAAAGAAAGATGAAATAAATAATGAAGAATTTTTTTTTCTACCAGAATCTAAGCTTTAACTTTTACCAAGTGGTTGGCAAAAAGTTATGATACTATAGAAAGTAGTAAAATACATAGAAAAGATTTTTCCATATATTTCTTCATATATCAGTTTGATTTTTTAATGCTATCACATATTACAGTGATGTTGGTGATAAGAAAGAATATTGATCCACATATCCTGCTGCTACATGTGCTATTTGTTTATTTACCTATCATAGAAAAAAATCTTTCTTTATTATTTATTTTATCTTTATTTTACAAACATAAAGAAAGTGATTATTTTTATTTCATAAACTAAAGATCAATTAAAACTCCTTATTAACATCAGATTTTACTTTTTTTTGTTTCACATGAGAAGTCTATCGTTGCAGATTGATACGAAATATCAAAACTTTTTAAAGATCGAGTATTTATTTTTGTGCCACAGCCAGAAATCATCGGACCCAAGAATTTCTGGAACTAGACCCCACTGATAAAGATTTTTTGGATCGAGACGCGATGGTCACTGGGTTTAGATATCGTAGTTAGGAAAAGTTTTGTTGCTTTTTTTACAAATAAATCCAATTTTTTTGAACAAGACGAACGAAAATTCAAAAAAAACTCAAAAAATATTATTATATGCATGAAAGTTTTCTTCCGATCTGAACCTTTTCTTAGAACTATGACTATTTTTTGTGCATAAGAAACCACATATTGATCGAAATAATGAACAAGGGACAAAACTGATTCCAATCGAAGCAATGATTAGTAACCAAAATCTCAACTAGTGCATTTTCATACTTGTATGGCTACAATTCAAGGTCTAGTGCAGAGCACAATGTTGCTGAAAGAGATATTCGTTTGTTAAAAATTTATCAACAGATATCGAAAACAGATGTTGACGTAGACAGAGCTGTTAGTTATCAGAATATCTTGAATATGAGTGAGTAGAGAAGGTGTTCACACTATATATCTTCACCAACATCTCCAAAAATCAAGTGGCTTCGAAATCTTTCAGTAAAGAAAAGTTACTATCGAAAATGAGTACGGATTAGCTTTTCGTAGGATGTGAGTTTTGATGTAGATCTTGTATTCATTCACAACCATACCCTCTATCTCCATTTCATCATATAATAGAAATTTTTCGAGAACGATAAGAGATAGAGGAATGAGTTTTTGATTGGTTGCTATACACCTCTAAGAAGTATATCTACGATAAAATTTGAACGAAAACAAATGAGCCACTCAGGAGTTAACTATAAGGAAAGGTCGTTCAGAAGAAGTTCTCTTTATCAAGTTGTTTTTTGCAAAGCCTCTTTTTTTTCAACTTCTAGAAAGACGAAGATGATAAAAAAAATAGATTGAACCACTTGAAAATGAAATAAGTATCTAGCATGCAATATTTCAGATGGATGGACATGGAAAGAAAGGGAGAGAAATACGAAGGACATATCATTCGAGCTCACTGTTCAGGTTCCACGAAATGGACTATTCTTTATCCAGTTTCTTCTTCCTTTGGGTGCTTATAAAATTGTTTTCTTCGCACATCTCGTGATACTCAAAAGGTAACTGATGGTATAAGCTAAAGAGCTGAAATTCGATGTAGCAGTGAGACACTCAGAGAGAGATAACTGAGTAAAAAAAAGTCTAAATCGATAATATAGAAGAAAAACGATTAGGCAAATATAGCGAAAATTTCAATTTGATCAAAAAGTTGCAATTCATCCATATATATTCTTAATAGATATATATGAAAGTAACATATCGACTAATTGAGGATCATCAAAATATGTACATGCACTCTGTTTACGTTGTCTTGTTCTTCGTGATAATAATTCTCAATGAACAAATGACAGTAGCAGGTATGTTACTCATTTAAAGTTATTGTATTTATAATAGTTGAATGGTGTTATTCTTTTGGAGAGCTTCGTTGCCGTTGCCTAGCGAGTAATTCGTCATGTTGGCCAAATGTTAGTGTTTGGCAAATGTTCAATGAATCTATTGATGGTCGTCTCGTCATACCTGAGCCATCAGCTGCTGTATGTAATGGAACGATATATAATGCTACAGCTTGTAGTATAGCCAAAACACAATGGTCAAACGCGACATGGCGCAGTGATCAAGTTGGTGCAATGCAAAATCATAATTGGGAAAATAGTTCATGTTCAATTTTTGTAAATAGCTCAACATGTAATCAAGGTTCTGTACCGGTGCTGGCTGTTGACGCAATATCACCCGAACACGTTCAAACAGCTGTTCGATTCGCTGCGACGAACAATCTTCGTTTAGTTATCAAAAGTACCGGACATGATTATTTAGGTCGATCGACTGCAGCTGGATCTCTACTATTATGGCTTCATCATATGAAAAATATGACACTGATTGAACAATACTCATCCTGTGGTCTCACCAATGTATCTAATGCTATTCGTATAGAAGCAGGTGTCCAATGGGGTGAAGTCTATCGATTGCTGAGTAACTTCAATTTGGTAGCAGTTGGTGCAACATCAGGTACAGTAAGTGCAGTTGGGGGTTACCTTCAAGGTGGTGGCCACAGTCCACTATCGCGTTGGAAAGGTATGGCTGCTGATCAAATACTTGAATACGATGTTGTAACTGCAGATGGACAACGTCAAACGATAAATGCATGTCAAAATAGTGACTTATTTTGGGCATTAAATGGTGGAGGTGGAGGTACCTATGCGATTGTGCTTTCTGCTGTTGTACGAACTTTCCCATCACCATCTATTGTTGCTACAACATATTCAGTCAGTGCAGCAAATGCAACTCGCTATGCGAAATTAATTGAAAGCTTCGTCGAAATATTACCAGCACTAGCTGATGCCGGATGGTCTGGCTATTTCGATATAGTCGATCTGACACTACGTGCTTTATTTCATGTACCTAATGGGAATTTGGCTGCACTCAATGCTATATTGAATCAATTTGCGGCCAACAACAGTGATTTAGATTTCAACAGCACTAATAGTTTTGTTATCCCATCATTTTATCACTACTTTGCCCTTATAATGGAACCAAATAATCCGACTGGCGATGGTTTTCTAGTGAGTTCACGACTTATTCCAGAAAGCATAATTCGGAGTAAACCGGCTCAAGTTGCAGAAGTTTTTGTTCAAGTGAAAGGTCAGAGTACAACTGGATCGATTCTTCGTGGAAGTTTAGTAGCGGGTGGACAGGTATCAAATACAACTAACAGAAATAACAGTATCAATCCTGGATGGCGTACGGCTCTTCTTCGTATGGCTTGTACTCAAAGTTGGTCAGATACAACATCCCAAGCTGATCAAGACTTCTTAGCGGCACAAGTCTTACTTCGAGCAGAAATGTTAGACAAAGTACTGCCTGTTGGTTCACAACCAACCTGCTACGCTAATGAAGCCATTCCAAGTGAACCAAATTGGCAAGAAAAATTTTTTGGTTCGAAAGTGATTTATAATCAACTGAAAAGTATAAAAGAAAAATACGATCCATTCGGACTCTTCGTATGTACAAATTGTGTTGGTAGTGACGATTGGACATCAGATCTTAATTGTCCGAAAACATCAACTTCTATCAAATTCAATTTAAGAATATTTCTTTTACTCATAGAAATATTTGCAATATTTATTATAAAACATCAGTAGAAAAAGAGAACTATCGAATATACATTGAACAATATCATGATATGTAGTAAATAAATTAATCATGCGAATTTTTTTTTGTAGAATTTTTTTATTTTTAATAGTTAAACCGTAAGACTTCGCATTTTTTTCCGATGCGATAAATTCATGTACGTCCACAAGACAAACGATTGATTTGGCGATGATAGCAACTCTATCAAAATACATAGAAAAATTCCAATAATGCTCATAAATACCATCAACAAGCGAGCATTATTATAAAAGACCTACTTTAAAAAGAGATGTACTCTATTTTACCATACATTAAGACTATCGCTGGGATTTCTATTGATATGTGCTTGAATATCTGCAGGGCATCCTTAGCTACTGCGATGTCTTTTAATTTTTGTATATGAAGCTTTCATGGTAACCTTGATTATGCGTGTAGTGGTGGTAGTACTGCTCGTTATATTCTTACTAATAACGACAAATACACCCATACCCAGATACTCTCAATCAGCAGAGGAAACTAAGTCGACTTAAGAGCACTTTAACGATTTTTACGAACATTTATTGTCGAAAGATTCAACTCTGTTCCATGTTAGAATCTAGTCAAACAACGTATTAACTGGGACTTTTCTTATTGAACCAGTCTCACAATACTACAAAACCAGGAAAAGATATCCTAGCTCAAACCTTATCGATCTTCGTTCCTAACTGATTGACTCAGTCATAGAGCCACTATTTTAGGGGTGATAGGAACTAACATTAACTACAACACTGCAAAGACAAGAGATTGAAAAATACCATCCTTCTGTACATTACTTAAGGTATACGATCCAAAGTTGAGCAGACAATATTATAATGATCATTATCGAGTCCGTATGATGTCTATTGATTGGTACAGAACTTAAGACACTTTGTACATCAAAGTTGTAGAAAAAACGCAGTAGATTTCTACTAATATAGTTGTTATGTTAGTTTGCTATGCCATTGGTTGTCATATGTGTTCAGATGTACATGTTCACGGACGCGATAAGGTTTCTTGATTACTCAATTTAGTGGTCTTTATATTTAACTAGGATGATGTTTCAAACACTAAATTGTCTAGCACTTAGGAGGGAACATTCCCAAGTGTCACATCGCTTTTGAGTCGGCCATATGGGGATTATGTAGATCCTAATGATCTATGAATCCTTCCAAAAAAGTTCGTGCCGCTAGCTTCTTGCTGCTGAGATATAACATTTTTACTATATGTTTCGAAAAAAGCCGTGGTCCTCCTTAGGAACATCAGGAAAAGTGAGTTTTGAGTTTCAGCCTGAAACTTTGCATGTGTATAGACCTCAATGAAAACAGTTTATTGTGAATGTTTCAGATTTTTCGGTTGCTCCTAGTCTGAGATAAGAAAATCGGATCCGCTGGGGTATATGAGCAATTTTATGATAATTGTATCTTAGGATAGGTGCAACGAAAAAAGCTGAAACTTTCACAATAAAGTATTCTCATTGAGCCCTATATCTATGCAAAGTTTGAAATTGAAATTCAAAATTCAGTTTTCCAAGTGTTCCTGAGGGAGACCACAGCTCTCTTTTCTTAAACATACAGTAAAAAGGCAGTATCTCAGCAATAATAAGCTAGCGGCACGAACTTTTTTCAGAGAATTCATAGATCGTTAGGATCTACATAATGCGCATATGCTCGACTTAAAAGCGATGTGACAGTTGAGAATGCTCCCTCGTTAATCCAAGAAATTTTCTTTGGACGAGATGCATATGATCAGAAATCAACATGAACTTCATTTTTATATAGAGTATGAGCGTTGCTGATGAACATTGATGCACATTTAAGATCTTATTCCATAAACACCCACACCCTAATTCAACTTCTATAAGATTTATTTCGAAAGTGAGAAGAATTATTTACTACTCGAACTCAGAGAAAGAAATTTGATGCGTCTTGTTTTCATTGACATTATCTTCATTTAAATCAAATCGGAATGTTCACTTTGACAAGGGATTTCTTTTGATTATCGAGAATATCCATGCTCTACGATTCAATTTGAGAAGAGAATCAATTCTCAATTATTTTCATCTTATCATTTTTTCCAAGTGTCATAAAATGCTGAGTTTTTTTACTTCACTTGCTTGAGATCTTCAATTGATTGTTAAAGAATAAAAAGATATTGACCTTTTTTACTGAAAAAATAATCGATATTGATCAATTTTCACAAATCGACAGAGAAAATCTTTAGAATCAACTTATTCTTATAGGATAAGATTAGTCAAATGGCTGATTGATAAATGAACATTGAATAGGATGTGGGTGTGAGTGTAGCTACACTGAACACCCACACCCACATCTATCATCGTTTTCTTAAGATTTTCTCCCATTATATTGCAGGCTAAATATATTGTTCAGATATGTTTGCTCTTCATCTGTCACGTTCATTGGATCCATTAGAAGCTGATTGATTGCTGTATCGATCAAGCCATGTTTCTTGTATTTCACAATGCATGCGAATCGACTAGTAATATAAAAATGCTCTTCAACTGTCTCTCATATCTTATCGCAGATTTATGGTTCAAGAAAATAAAACGATTCAGTATATAAAAGGTATGCGTCTCATCGTTTAACTTTCTACCAGAATCAACTCAAACTCTTCTTTTATCTTTATATCTGGATAAGGCTTTTTTTTATTAAATGTGCACTTTAATTCTCGGACATGCGCTCCTCCAACAATTGTCGCGACGGCTTTCACTCCATTTTCTATACTTTGTTTATATTATCATTTTCCTCTCTGATCAATGGTAACTGTGTTTCGAGGTAGTGGCTCGCGTTTATCTTTACTGTCGACAGTGCCAAGTAGCAAACACTTCGAGAGACACATCATGCTGTATCGTTAATTGATTGTGTTTCTTATTCAGCATGGTATTTCTAGCATGAGACTTCTAAGTGTTGTTTTTCTTCGTTATTCTTTTTCATTAAAAGAAATCGAAGTAACGTTACGGATCTGCTGGGCGTAAATGCACTGTAGTTTTCTTTAACGCATCACGTTCTATTGATTGTTATACATTTCGTTTTAAACGTCTATTTAATATCCTTGAGAAATATTTTAAGAATACAGTTCTTAGCAACTTCACTTGTTTCTGTGTGACGCTTCTTCACGAAAAGTGCCTTATCTAATCTTCTAATTTGGCCTAACAGAGACAAAATAGATACTATAAGCAGGTGAAACTCAAGCTCTATCGCACCATAGATGATACGTTTAGTCTTTTATACTTTTTTGAATAGGGCATTTTTTCCTACGAATTATCCTCATCCTTTTTTTTGAAACAATCTTTGCTTCAACTTTCTCTTTTTCTATTCTGAAATAAGAATCGTAACGATTTTATGGATCATTCGATACATCCGAATTATTACTATTGTGATTATTGATATATTGTAGCTGTTCATTGTACCTTCTAATCAACAAATACATGATTGATAACAATAACTTATCGAAAGCCAATAATAAGACAACAACAGTAGATAACAATGATTGTTCTGTTATAATGTCTTCTAGTCATCGAAAGCCTTGTAGATTGGATTGGGCTGAGTCATCTTGGACACGATGGATTTATGTTATATTTTGGTGGTGGTTGAATCCAATTTTAAATATTGGTAGTAAACGTAAATTAATTGAAGATGATTTATTTGATGTATCGCCAAATGATGAATGTAGTCAATTATTAAAGAAACTTGAAATAGTATGGGAAAATTATGAAAATAAATTTGAACACATCAACACATGGAAAATAGTTGTTAAAACATTTTGGAAACAGAGTTTCAGAATTGGCCTCATATTTTTACCATATCTTGCCGCAAAACTAGCTCAGCCTTTACTGATAAAAGGAATTGTTCTTAATATAAATGATTCAAATGCAGCTTCATACGTAGGCTATTTATATGCCGTCGGATTAGGACTTTCGACCACTTCTCTAGTATTAATGCATCATCAAATTTTTTTTCGTACAATACGCATTGGAATCCAAATACGCATTGCACTCTCATCGATTATTTATAAAAGATTATTATCATTGCCAACAAGAGTAATTATGAAAACGACAACAGGTCAAGTATTAAATTTAATTTCAAATGATGCTAGTAAATTTGAAGAACTATGCAAATATATTCATAATTTATGGATGGCACCATTAGAAGCAGTGATTGTCTTCGGTATAATTTGGCATGAAATTGGTATTCCGACCTTGTTCGGTTACGCTGTATTGTTACTACAACTTCCATTACAATGGTTTTTCAGTAAAAAATTTAGAACATACAGGAAAACTACTATGCAATGGACTGATGAACGTGTAAAAATTACCAATGAAATATTAGTTGGTTGTCAAATTGTTAAAATGTATCGATGGGAAGAAGCATTGGAGACTGTTGTTCATAATACAAGAAAGAAAGAATTTCAAAGTATTCGAAAAGCGAATCGAATTCGAGCAATTAATATGGCCATTTATTTTTCATCATTATCTTTAATATCATTGGCTACGTTTGGTGGTAGTTGGTTAATGGGTTATACATTGTCCAGTGCAAATATTTTTACAATTTTATCATTTTTCGCTATAATAAGATACGAACTAACTAATGGCTTATCTTATGCTGTTGACACATTAAGTGAAAGTATGATAGCATCAAAACGTATTAATCAATTCATGAATTTATCAAAACAGACTCGTACAAAAACAGTACAAGAACATTCTACAGATGATCATAAACGTATACCAGGTAGTATAGTAATGGATCGAGCTTCATTTACGTGGGATTCGACTCAATCGGCTCAACTTATTGAAGTTGATTTAGATTTGAATGCTGGTTCATTAGTAGGTATTATAGGAACAACTGGTTCATGTAAATCATCTCTTTTGGCAGCAATACTTGGTGAAATGTGTCTTGTTGAAGGTATTAGTAAGATATATGGTAACATTGCATATGTATCTCAAACACCATGGATATTTGCTGGTACGATACGTGAA